ATGGCAGAGATTTAAATTTGATAGGAGAAAGGCATTTCCTGGGAGAAGAAAAATCAGTAGTGGCCTGAACTGTCACCGGAGGGCACAGGGCAGAATCTTCAGGTTGCGTCTTTCTTCTCTGCTGCCTCAGTCCCTCATCCCTGAATGTTCCCCAACTCCTGCTTCTCCCTGGCACCTCTCATGGCTCCCAAGTGACTCAGCTCCTATCACCCTTAATGGCGCACTGCTCATCTCCACATTATGGTATTTTCCCTGCTTACTGCGTTAGCCTCCTCAGATAAACCAGAAAAACTTGGGAAAGCGTATCTCCCTGAATCAGCTGGAGGACCCTGTCGGAAAGAAAGGGAACACTCAAACCACCTCACTGAGAAGAATCTGGTAAAGAATTCTTCACTAAACTATGGGCAAGCCGAGGCAACCAACAAGACATGGGCTAGCAGCACCCAAGAGACACTACTATGAAGAAGCCTGAAGGGGAATGAAAAGAGGGGGCAGGAACATGCAGAGAGTGGTGGTCATAACTAGAGTTAGAGTTTTAGGAGAGGGTTGTCCAAAAAACCCTGCAACTTTAGGCAGAGGGCCCCCATCCTTACGGTCCATGACATCGGGAGAGAGCAGGAAAACAAAGACTTTGACCTCTGATCTGTTAGTTCCTCCCATTGGCCAAAGGCAGCCGAATGCTGGGATTAAAGGTTCATATGTCGGCTAGGCATGGTAGCTCACACCTGTAATCCTAGCACTCGGGGAGGATTACAGAGGCTGGAGCAGGGAAAGGTAAACCCCAGCTGGTGAATTTCCAAGAGCTCAGGAGTTCCAGACCAGCCTGAGCAAAAGCAAGACCTTGTCTCCACCTAAAATAGAAAAATTAGCCATGTGTTGTGGTAGGCAGGTGGGCACCTATTTTCCCAGCTACTTGGGATCCTCCCAGAAAGAGGATCACTTGACCCCAAGAGTTTGATGTTGCAGTGAGCTATGATGATGCCATAGCACTCTACCCAGGGCAACAGAATGAGAATCTGTCTCAAAAATAATAAGATGTCTATATGGGTTATCATCTAGGGGTGCAAGGCCAGGTTAGGATAAACAAAGAGGGGGTCTGGAGGAAAAAATGAAAGCCATCCAGCACATCCCCATAGCAGGCTGTCAACGATGCTTGTTGACTGACTTAGTGTTAATGCATATGGTGGAGGGCCTGATTACTATAAAGACTCTCATGCAAATGTCAAGAGGCTGAAGGATGACTTATAGGACCTGTGTAGGTCCATTTCTGTCCCCACAAGTCTATCAAAGTTACACTGCTGTCAGAGCCGAGGGTCTGGTATGGCCAGTGTTTGTTTTCCTTTGGCGGGGAAGGCAGGAAAGAGGTAACAAGAGAAAAATTGCAAGAGAAACCACCAGTCAGTCTCATCTGTGCTTAAAAGCTAAAAGTATTTCCCCTCAAATTAAAAGGTAATGTTTGCTATTGAAATGTGAGCTGGTAGAAAAGACAATTCACTTGCCAGCATGCTCATCAGCTAACTGCTATCACAGCGACAAGTGCCAAGCAACTCTACATGCAGCCTGGGAATGAGCCCTGCGAATAAAAAAGCACAGTGTGAAATGATGACTTTTTCTGATCAAAAAGCATCCTGGGGAGGGCTCAGTGGTTTGGGGTCAAGAAGAGGCCTTGATTTCTGGGGTGATTTGTATTGTTATCAGAGAGAAGGCTGTACTTGCCATGAATATATGGCGACTTGACTCACTCCCACTGGTGGAAGCAAACGTGAAGTCACTTGTCTTTCTCGCTGGGTCTTTGCCCCCCACATGGAGACATATTCTTCATTTCAGTTTCACTTACCTGTCACTTTCTCCTTAAAAAGGGAGATTTATAAAGTAAAAAATCATCAACATCAAAGAACATGTGTTACCAGGGTGCACAAATGTGTGTGCACGTGTGGACACACACCAACACTCTCCACCTCTCCCCCACACCATGTCCTGGAAGCAAAATTGTGACTAATAATCACAAACTCATTTCCCTCAATTGAAGTTTTTTTCAGTATTTAGACTGTGAGTGTCTTTATTCTGTAGTTTCTCTAGCCTAAAAATTTAAAAGCTGTTGCAAGGGAGCTATAATTTCTACTCAACACTTCAGTGATTTGATTATATAAAATAAAAAGTGTAATGAAGCTAATAGTACCTTATTCTTGCAGTACATTACGAGGAATTTTTTTCCCTACAAAATCTTAAAGTGGAAATTACCTCTGGGCCCCCTAACTCTCAAAAATATGGGTCTCCATGATTACAGCAATGGAATTTCCAGACTTAAGAACTTAATATGTTTCCCTTTCCTCTATTCAGTTTCCCGAAAAGACATCTTCTCTTTCTGGGATAGTATAGGGTGAAAGATGAAGAACGGAGGTGACACCAGGAGACCTGTGTTCTGCTCTTGGCTGGTCCAGGTTGTATGACCTCAGGAGAAGCAGTTAACTTCTCGGTCTTTCATTATTATGTTTCACAGCAGTCCTTATCGACAATCATTTCTACCTGCTTTTAGCCTACTTATTTATGTGGTTTCATCAAAGAGCAGAAAAGGAACGAATGTCTTGGATTCAAGTCCCTTACAGGTCACCACCTTTGATCCTATCCCCAGTCTATCTCTCTTCCTGGCATTTGAGATTTGTTCAAGGTGGTTTCAACAAATCTCACTCCCAAAGAACCGACTCAAAAAGACCATTCTTGCTATCACCATCCCAGCAGCAGTGTTCACATTTAAAGGAGAGAACTTCACACTAAAATCAAGGATAAGACTGTAGCCATCTCAGCCTAAGGGCTGGAATGTCCAGTGGCATTTAAGCACCCCATACAGGGAGGCATGGGACAGGACATGCTTTTCCAGAACTTCCCCAACCTGGACACACAGATGTAACACTTAATCTACCTCTAGAAAGCAAGGAAGATATTTCACTAGTGTAAAAATTCTCCCAAACATGCTATAGTCAAATTTAATAGGATAAGTTTCTCAGGTGGTGCCAAGCAACAGGTTCTCATTTTCTCTTGTTCTTCTATGCCAGCAAGTCAAGAAAGGGACCTGCAGTCTCCAACAAGTCTCAGGGTACAGCCATATGCCAAAAACATAAGCTTAGTTTTGGGTCTTCAGCTAGCACTGCTAATGTGATAGGATTTTATTTATCCCTCTAGTCAAGCTACTTCTAGGCAAAATTTAAATGTGGGCGAAAGTTTCATTGACACTTTTTCTCCTCTGATTTGCAGGTACCTAATATCCTCATGGCAACT